TTTCCCCCCCAAGATAAGGATATGTAAACCAATTACTTTTGTTATTATCTTCTGTAACATAGTAATAAAAACAGCACAAATTCTTTCTTGGAAATGGCTACAAACTTCCAAACTACAATTTCTATTCAAAACAATTCATACATATGAGAATTGTTACACCTCACTTTCCCAGCCTACAAATTAGCAAGAGAAAAGACAAGTAGTTTATGTGGTTTTATTACAGATTATTTGAACTGTGTAGAACATAGCATTACAGTTACCAAATGTTTCTTCTGTTTAGTAACTTGCAGGACAAGCAACTTGCAAAGATTTTAAACTTCCCTAATGACCAATTCAAGAATGGGAATCACTCCCAAGTATTCTAGAAACTAAACAAGCATTACAATGGAAAATCTTAATAGTTCTAGCAAAACTATTTTGGTAAATCTTTGGTTTCTGATCTCTCCTCTTCAGAGCCAGGTTTCTTGAAAGAACACTAGTTTCTCATTACCTGTTACTCCTCAACCAGAAGGAATCTGATTTCTGGGGCTGAGTTTCTTCACCAGGATTTCAAACACTTTTTACCTGACATCTCTGTAGCATTAGAGACTGCAAACCACTTCTCTCTTGGCTTCCACAACTCCACTCTTCATTTGTTTCCCTACCTTTTTTTCCCCCTTCAGGTCTTCATAACTCCTTTCTCTCCAACTCCTGCAATAATGGTGCTCTCCAGTGTGCTCTATTTAGCCACTTTCTCTTTTTATTCCAGGCATTCTAGTACACTCCCATAGTTTAACGTACTATGAGAAGCTTGGTCTGGTAATAGACATTTGGAGTTCTCCCACAAGTTACTCCTGCTCGGCTAATCTAGAATATAAATCTGGTTAGATTTCTTTCTTTTTTTTTTTTTGGGGGGGGGGGGTATCTTATCAAACAGAGTCCAAAATCCTTTTAATGGCATATGTATAGTGCCTTAACAGTTTGACCTGTACTTCTTTCTAATTTCACCTTTTCCCTGTTCATCACAATTCATGCATAGTTTTGGGTCTAGGTTTTTCTAGACCCAGTTCTTCAAACTGACCCCAATTCAAATGTCACTTCTTATGTGAAGGCAGAGAATTATTTGCTCCCCCACCCTCCTATTATGTATTCTTTGTACATAAATCCTGTAATTATCTGCATTTACATTTCACTTTTCAATGGAGCTATCTAAAGACAAGAACCCAGTAATTTAAAAAACACATAACATAACCTTAGAAATATTTGTAAAGAGAAAATATTCAATATACTTAACAAAAAAAGGACAAAAATTAGGAAAAGTAATTATGACTTTGACTAATCTTCAAGGCTAAATGAAATCTACTTCTGTCTATACAGGATAGCTAGAAACAAAACGCTTGAAGGATTCAATTTTAAGCTGATCAGAATGCAATTTATGACTGAAACATAGTTTAAAAACAAAAGCTTCCTGTCAACCTTTACAACTGCAGGTGAAAACAGAATGACTTTCCACTGATGAAAGACAACGGCCTAATATTTTAACTCTCATCAGATTTGAAAGTTTAAAACAGTAGTCATCCAAAAGAGACATATACTAAGACTGACAGACAAAATGTATATCACTAAGAAGAATTAAAAATGAATGACAATGGCCCGACTGGGCAGCTCAGTTGGTTAGAGTACTGTCTCAACTTGCCAAAGTTACAGGTTCGATTCTCAGACAGGGCAACCAACGATTGCATAAATAAGTGGAATAACAACTCACTTTCTCTCTCTCTCTCTCTCCCCCTCTCTCTTTCTCTAAAAACCAATAAAAAACATTTTTTAAAAAAGTTTTTAAAAATGAATGAGAATTAAAATAAGTACTAAAATAAGCAGCAATGGGATTTGGTTTATTCTATTTCTTTTCAACTACATCTAGCATACCTAAATCACTACAGAAGAAGAGGTTAAAAAAAAACAAACTACCAACCACCTGTATCTATGCTACTTCACTTCTGGATTATGGAAATGAGCCAGAGAAAAACACTTTTTCTTCCTTAATGCAATATTTGTAAAAGTATCATTATTATAATCAACAATGGAAATATGAGTACAGTGTTAAATGGAGTACAATACTGATCTTAAAGGAATTTGTATTAATAAAATGTCATATTACAAATTTTGTTTGCTCACGTTAGTTATACAAAAGTGGCTGGAAACTATGTTTTCCTTTGCAAATTCTTATAAAGAATACCACCTCCATAAGGGATTAACAATACTTCACGAGAAAAGCAATGAGCAGAGGATCAAAACAAGCAGCCTTTTCTTAAATGCAGCATCTGTGAAAAGAAAAACAGCAACACAGCTCATTTCTGACTAAGTTACTATAGAAATCAGACTGGATATCTTCCTGTGCTTTTTCTTCACAAATCATATGCCTGTTTACTAATAAAAGGTATGAACTTAATGATTAATAAAGGTATATGGCAGAGGACAAATTGGTATTGAATGAATGGACAGAAGGAAATCAAAGGAAGGAGGTAGGCAAACCCACTTATCAACCACTTCTCTCATATAGAGAAGTTTTCTCTTCTTAAGAAAAGTTTTGAGTTCCCGTAATACTTTACATACCTCAATTTGAACTTTGTATGTTAAGCTAATTATTCATTTGTCTCTCCAACACAAATTTCAAATTTCATCTTTTCTATTCTTAAAAAGCATACATGTGCTTAAATACCTTCCTGGTTTTTTAGATTCAGAATTGATAACAAACAAATCCTTGGTTAATAAATATCTTCAGCAGAGATTTTCTAACTTTATTAAAGGAACATCTTCTGTCATTTAAAAGTTTAAATACCTATATGATTTTCTCTGAAACAACCCTAGAATGCTCCTAACCCAACTTTTGTTTGCAGAAATGAGTTTTTACAAGGCAATAGCACCATAAGTTGCTACTTCTTACCTAAACCTAACATTTCTCACCCCTTTTATAACTTGACATCTGGCTCTAAGACCATATGGCTCTAAGTATTCTATAAAAATAACCAGTGTCCTCCAAAAAAATCATTATAGCATGTAAGTTTCATACATAATAAATACATAAAAAGATCATTATACTATAGAAATTACAGGTAGTAATAAAACTGGTTAGTAAACTACTTTTACGAAGCTATCATGGATTAAGTCAAGACAGAGTTCTACCAATCCATCTCAAAATAGCAAAACTTTAGATGATGCATTCCTCAGCATAAATTGCAAGTAAACTCAGGAATGTTAAAGATAACTAAGTTTAGAGGAAACAAAAATCATATTTTTTCTTACTTTCCTTCTCAACCCCACAATCCCCACCCTCCCATACACCTCTGTGACTTCCAATGTTACAATTAAAATGCTGTTACGTTTATTCTTTTCTTTTTGTCCCACATATGTCAGCACCAAGAGTTATGAAATGTCCAAAGTGTACATAAGAAATAGAGAAGGAGGTCAAGTTTTCTAAGAACCTATCTGAATTCAAAACCTATGAATTAACAGAGTTGGTGAATAGAATACATGGTCCCCCCACCACTTTAAAAAGTACCAGTATGTAAGAATAAATAAAGGTAAAAATAAAGTCACAAATAAAAACGGCGGTATTATGATTAATGAAACTCCGTAATTTACAATGTCGAAGTGTAATATGACAAAAGAACAGTATTCCCCAAATTATTTTACTATGTATGTTTTCTCCCTCTAGTCATCCAAGTTAACCTCACATACAAAGTTTCTGTACCAGGAAAAAAACAAATGCTAACGAAACTTGGGTTTCTGGTGTATTATTACGAATGTGATTTTAAACTCTTAGATTCACTAGCATGGCCCCAAACCATGATAGGGTAAAGTTAAAAAGCAATAAAGCACTTTTTAAAACCACTACAGCGTGACACATGGGAATTATCAAAGAACAACTTACTTTAAGTATACTGACACAGTAACAAACAAGAGGCTCTGGCGGTTCAGAAAAGTTACTCATCTCAGACTGAGTAATGACGTTAAAGGGAACTTGACTGACACACCCAGGGCCGACCGCCACGTTAAGGATACAACTCTTCCGAGGTGGAGAGGGCTCACGCCAGCTCTGACTGCTGTTGAATCCGGATCCCGCTCCTCCTCCCAGAGGTGGTCTGCCCCCCGGCTTGCCTCCTCGTTCACCCCCTCCACGCCCCCGACTCCAGCGACTCCCACCCCGGTACGGCCTGCCTCGAAAGCGGAAACGGTCCAAGGCGAGGTGGCTCCGTTCCCAGAAGGACGGCCGGGGGCTGCTTTCGGACAGTGAACTCGAAGGCATCCGCACGGAGGGCTGGTGAGACCGGAACGGCTCTTTGGGTCGGTAGCTGCTGTGTCCCCTGAGGTGGCCCCGCTCCGACGCGTGCCGCGAGCGTGAGAAATTCCTCAGCTGCTGCTGAGAAGAGGAGGAGGACGACGAGGAGCCACCGCCTCCGCCGGATCCACCGCCCCGGGCCGGGTGAGGAGGCCTTCGCCGCGGATATGGTAACAGCCCGCAGCCACTGCTGCTGCTGCTGCTCCGGCTCCGTATCTGGCTGTTGTTATCGTCATCGCTGATCTCCCCATCTTCCAGCTCTCCCTCTTCCTTGGGCGAGAAGCCACTGGAGGCCGGGGCCGGAGGATCTGCAGTCGCCATCCCAGGAGCAGCGCCTTCCACACAACCTCAGCCCTCCGTCCCGGGAACCGCCCGACAACTGCCTTCCTCCTCGGTTCCCTTCTTTTCTAACAGGTTCCGTAGGTGCGGCCTTACCGTACTCGAACACCTAGCGGGCTCTGCTCCCCAACTTCCCGGCACCCCCAGCTCTTCCTCGCCGGACCGTCGCAACCCAGTTCCCTACCCTAGCGCCCCCTTGCTCCAACGCTAACGGGGCTCTTCCGCCTCGCGAGATATGGACTGTGGAAGTGGCTCTGCCATTGACGTAACTTCCTGCTGCATGCAGGAAACAAGGCACTCAGTTACCGCGATAATTATTAAGACAACGTGATTCTCAGTGGGACTTGTAGTTTTTCTTTTCTCTATACGGGTTTGTCCTTCAAGTCTACAACTCACGCCCACTTCAGTCTCGGGATTGGAATTTCTGGGTGCGTGAAAGGGTGGGCGGGCATTTTCTTAATCTCCACCTCGAGAGAGCATCGTAGTAATAAGGGGAGGGACGGTGGGTAATGCCAATTCCTTTTTTAATTGCTCCGAGGACAGCTGCTGAAGAGACGCAGTAGTCCCATTCCCTTTTGGGGGCCAGTAGGGGGGTCGGGTTGGCCCGCCATGTTGATGAAGGCAAAGGAAGGCTAGTGGAGCTCTAGGACTGACGGATCTGCTGGTTTAGGTCCGCCATATTAATAAAGAAAAAGGGAAGGTTGACCCCTGTTCTCCGACAGACACACACACCCCTTCTTTCCACCCCGCTTCCACGACTCAGCTCGGTGGGCCTTTTCCCTGCCACCCTTGCCCAGTCTGCCCGCAGGAAGTATAGCAGCGCCTCAAACACAGGCTTACGGCGCCGCCGAATGTGGGGGGAAGTGAAATGCCGACCAATTGCGCCGCGGCGGGCTGTGCTACTACCTACAACAAGCACATTAACATCAGCTTCCACAGGTAACCTGGGCAGGGAGAGGGGGATGAAGCGGAAACGCGAGCTGCTAGATTGAGTATTGCTTTTGTAAAAGGAACAGGAGAATTCTGCGAATTCTAATAACTTCAGTACCTACGTGCTAGCAGCTAAGCACTCTATTTTCTCTTTGTATACTTCTCAAATCTGTCTAATTTTTCTCTCCATTCAGGGAAGATTTACTCACTTTATGAAAGAAATTCAAGTTCGCGGTGATTACTCCTTGTAAAAGTGACAGGAGATACCTTAATTTTCTCCTTTTTTACCTTTATGTATTAGGCCGATCTTTACATTAATGACGCCATAAGAAATCTTCCTGTTCATGTCAGCAATCAATTTAAAAGACCACTGTATTACCGTAAAACCAGGTAATTCTTGCTAGCTAAATTGGCAGGGAACTCTGCGGAGGAATTTACTCATCATTGATAATAGTCATGGAATGAAGCAATGTTAGTGAAAGTACAAAAGATAAGCCTTCTGTTCGTACTAGAACAGTAGTAAAAAGAACCTCGGTGTTTTTTGTTTTTGTTTTTGTTTCTTCGTTTGCTGGAAGATCAATAAAAACTCTTTAGTTCTCTCAAATCAGAACTCTGGAAAGCACTTTGAACAGTACAAGAAATACAGTAAGTGTTTACCGTCTCTGTAAGTGCTTGCCATGTGGCTGAAGAAGAGAAGCATTAAAAAAGTTAGTGCAGAAAGTTTTGATTTTATATAACTCATAACTTAATCCACTCTTAGAATGTAGAAAACTATATCCTTGACCTTTCCTCTACCTCATGATAACTAAATGTACACCCTTATTAAAGGTTGCCACTTAAAAAAAAATCTTTGTGATGTTTCTGTTTCCAGCTGCTTCTTGCAAGTGTAGTGCTTTATTCATTCATCCATTGAATGTGTACCAAGTTCTTATTTGCCTGACATCATGCTAGGGATCCAGAAAATTCTTATATTCCTGGAGTTTAGAGTGTAATGAGGAAGAAAGACAAACATAATTACAGTTAAGTGCCTCAGAAAAGACATTCAGGGAAACCTGACTCGGCCTTGTAAAGTCAAAGAACACTTATCAAAGGATGTAAAAATTCAAATGAGACCAAATAGTGACACAAGTTTGGTTCTATTTGCGCCTTTGAAGATTTTCTATTTCATCAATTAGTACTTGAGAAGCTAGGGAGGGTTTTAAAAGAATGTCATGATTAAATGTGCATATTTAAAAAATTCCTCTGGCAGAAGTGTCTGAGAATAATGTTACTGAAAGTGCTGGTTAAGCATCGTCAAGAGATAAATTTGGTAAGAAAGAAACTTCTTAAAGAATGTTCATTTACCTCCTGTTTCTTTCACAGGGAAATTCCTCGACAGTGTCAACTGAACTACACAATGTTTTTTGCTGGCACAGCCAGCACTAGAGTAAAAGAGTTAAGAGTTGACAGAGAAAAAACAGGAGCCAGTCATAAAACAAGGGCGAGTCCACCCAGTGGCCCAGACTAGAGTGGTACTAACAGTACAGATGGAAATAATTATGGAAAGATGTGAACAGATCTGAGAAATATTTGAGAAGAAGCTACTGTATTTTATCATTTCATTGGGAATATGAGGGAAAAGGAAGAGTCAGGACACCAGCAATATTGAATGTTTAAGAGATTCACAGTTTGCCCTGGCTGGTGTAGCTCAGTGGATTGAGCATAGGCCTGCAAATCGAGGGATTCCTGGTTTGACTCCCAGTCAGGGCACATGCAGGTCAGGTTCCCACTGGGGGATGCATGGGAGGCAACCACACATTAAAGTCTCCCTCTTTTTCTCCCTCCCTTCCCTTCTCTCTAAAAATAAATAAAATATTTTTTAAAAACACATTAAAAAGATGCACAGTGGTGCAGTAGCATGTATACTTCCTTTCCATATTTGACCATTTGCCACCAATGAAATTAACATTTTCATATGTAATGCAAAAATTTAGGTTACAAAGTAATATTATGGTAAAAACATTTCTATTTTATAAGTACAAAATATTAACTATTCTCGTAAGACATTAGTAGACTTCAGTATTCCCATGTACAACTTACATTGCCTAAAGTATCTCCATTTTTCTTTTTAAAAATATTTTTAAAGATTTCTATTTATTAATTTTTACAGAGAGGAGAGAAACATCGATCTGTTCCCTCTCACATGGCACCATCTGGGGACCTGGCCCACACCCCAGACGTGCCCTGACTAGGAATCAAACCAGCAGCCTTTTGATTCTCGGGCTGGTGCTTGCATCACACTAGCCAGGGTTCCTTTTTCTTATCTATTACTCAGCCCAATGCAGACTAGTTCTTGCCAATAATCTAAAACTGCTCTTGCTAACATGAGTAGTTACTCCTACATTCCTTTTTCATGGCATATGATCATTTCCTCAAAATACTCTCTACTTTTGAATTGACACTAATTTTGTGGCCTACCTACTCTACCAGCCCCTCTCTTCTATACCTAACCTAGGTCTTCCCTCTTTTATTAAAAAAGATTTCAAACTGTTCTCTGATCTCAGGTAACATTTACTTGTTGAAACCTCCAAAATCAATTATCTCCAGTTCAAATCTCTAATGAGTTTCAGACCCATAGGCCAAGTGTTTCAGTATTTCCCTGGTCTCTCTTCAGTTCCTTTCTCAGTAAATGAAAACATCTACCCAGAAACTGGGAGGTCATCCTTCCTTGACTTCTCACCATTCCCTCTCGATAGGATTATTACAATAACCTCTAAATTGGTTCACTGCTTCCCTTCATGTATTCCTAACCTCTCTTCTGTAATCAGTGATGTGTTGTTAAATGTTGAACAACAAAATCTCCAGGGAAAGGGGAAAGGCCTGACTCATAATACTTGCTGGAATCCTGTGATATAAATAACACATACCCTGGCTGGTTTCCAGCTACCGACATCACTGATCATAAAGTTGGGAGGAAATGTGCAGTATCACACTATTCTATATAGCATTTATACTATACAGCTATAACAGACAAATGGTTTTAAGGATATAAATAATACTAAAGTGATTAGGAAGTAATGGGCTTTTAATATTTACTACCTTTTTAAATTTATTGTAAATATGCATAATTTAATTTTTAATAATGGTTTTGTTTAATAGCCGATTAAAACATTTTCTGTTAACAATATGCTCTCTAAGTTAAGCCTTGTAATGGCTTACCAATTACATTTTGGAAAAAGTTCAAAATTATTCTTTAACTTAGAAGGCTCTCTGGCATCATTTCATGTCATAACATTCTTCACTATTCCCACCCTAATTCCCCTAGCTAATTCCTACTATCAAAGCCTCCTGACTAGATTGGCTCTTTGAGTTTTATGGTTCCATTTTACTTTGTACTTAACCTTTTATAACACTCATGACACTTGTAGTTACTTTTATATCAAATAGCATTTATTTAGTATTTACCATATACTGTGCACTGGGCTAAGCATTTAGCCCATTGTCTCATTCAGTCTCTAGAACCACACTGGATAGCATTATAGATGGTATTTTTATATAATAGATAATAAAACTAAGGCCTAAAAAGTTTGCATAACTTGCCTAAAGTCACCCAGTTATTATGTAAAGGAACCAGAATTGACACCTTCATTGGACTCCAGAGACAGTGTTCTCTTCGTCACTCTTTTCTACTACATCCAGCTGTTAGAATCTCTATCTTCTCCATTTACAGTATACCCTTAATAAGAAGGTAGATATCATAAAAGTAGGTCAGTTTTGTTTACCACTATGTGTTCAGTGCTTGGGACGTGCCTAGGACAGTGCTTGATATGTAAGAAGCATTCGGCCATTTATTAAAGACCCAAGCAAGATAGCATTGTTTAAAATATTGATTTTTTTTCAAAGCATCTAATATTTCTGAAAGCCTGGTCCTATTATGGTATAGACAAAAATATTAATCTGTTACTACTATGTTATTTTAAAAATATTTATAGGATGATTTATTACTACTTGAGTTCAATTATGGGCTATATCTACCAGTCTTTGAATATGCTAAGAGAAATCAAAAAAACACATACAAAACATAATTATGTTTGATGCTGTGTAAAAGCATTATCCAAAATCAAATAAATTGTTGGTAATTATTATTATAAATTGTTGGTTTTAAACACAGATTTAAAAACCTTGGCCAAGTGAATTTCAATTTGAAGCACTAGTTTCATAAGGAGCTAAGAAAACATTAAATATCTGAACACAGAGGAAAGAATACCAGAATCTATTCAGGCTTTGATAAAATTTAATCTGTAGATAAATTGATTTGTCTTAACCAAGTATATCAGCAACAGATCTATGCATTGTTATTCCTGCTTATAAGGTTCTGTGTAAGCTTTTTAAAAATTGATTTTAGAGAAAAAGAGAAACAACTTGTTCCACTTATTTATGAATTCATTGGTTGATTCTTGTATGTGTCCTGACCAGGGATCAAACCCACAACCTCGGCGTGTGGGGCGATGCTCTAACCAACTGAGCTACCCGGCCCTGGTCTAGATCAGTTTAGTCTTGTGTATTTTTACTGCCTATGTTAAGGACTAGAATAGAAAGAAAAATCTCTTTTCGAAGCCCTGAAAAATAAAACCACTCGAGTAAGGTTTTTATTATTTTTTTACAACTTATAAAAATTAGCATGAATTGGTTCCTGTTCCAGTGTTCTGAATATTGGGAATTTAAATTCATTGTGTATAAACTGAAGACACTTTAAATCATCACCACTTAAAATTTGCCTTAACCATTTAGGTGCAAACAGAAGTGTCATAGTTGCAATTTGAGTTGCCTTTTTTTTTTTTTAAAGGTTTCCTTTGGATCCTAAAAGAAGAAAAGAATGGGTTCGCCTAACCAGGCGCAAAAATTTTGTGCCAGGAAAACACACTTTTCTTTGTTCAAAGCACTTTGAAGCCTCCTGTTTTGACCTAACAGGACAAACTCGACGACTTAAAATGGATGCTGTTCCAACCATCTTTGATTTTTGTACCCATATAAAGTCTGTGGTAGGTAATGTTGCTTTTTTTTTGTAACCCTAGCTTTAGAACTTGTTCTTTTTTGTTTATAAAATGGAACAGCTCAGAATATAATTAAATTAATATATGATATGCCTCAAAGAAGTTGCAAAATTTCCTCTTGTGCAGTAAAGGTGCAGGCTAGAATTAGAACTCAGGTCTCCTGGCTCCAATATTCTTCCTCTGGCCCAAACTATTTTCCTAAACTGGAATTTTGCATTACTACCAATTAATAATTCATAAAAACAATCATTTGTAAAACAGAAATGAGTAATGAAACATCTAGCATTACTCAGCTCTGATTTTAAGCTGACATACAAAACGTGTGGTAAGTTCTTAAAGAGCACTACTCCCAAAGAATACCAGTGCCATACTAAAGAATATGAGAGAGAGTCATAACAGAAAGCTTCATAGAACTCAGGCATTTTGCCTGGGCTTCACCTTGGATTTTGGAAATTAGGAGAGGGTTCTTGACCTAACAGAACAAAAACTGATGGGTTGAGGGATACGTGGAAAATAACCAAGTGTCACCAAATGATTTATCAAAGGGAGAAAAGAAGGTTTAGAATGAATGCATTAAAACAGTATTTTATGTAGTTAAGGTAGATCTGATCAGAGAGGAAAAAGCTAATTGATAAAAACAGGGTCATTGAAAAAAAGCAGTAGACTGAAAAAATAGTTTAACTTTGAAAAGGAGGACAGGCAGCTTTCTCAGAGAGGAAAAACTGCTGCTTTTCCTGAGTTATTTATGATAGATGAATTTGTAAGTATACATGAATTAATATCTGAATAGGAGGGGAGATGGTAAACCAGTTATCACAGATATTAGAAAAGCTCCAGAAAGGCAAAAACTTTGCCTTTTTCACTTCTAAATTCTCAGCAACTCAAATACTGCCTGGTACATAGAACACAAATATTCATTTGAAGCATTCCTTTTAACATTTTGATCACATACTCATTTAACAAATATTTACTAAACTTTACATTGTGTCAGAATGTAAGTCAGATGGTGAGGATATAAAGATCAAAAAATAATCCCTATCAATTCCCCTAGTCAGAGGGAATACCAATTACAGATTTTGTGAGGACAGGAACCGTATTTGTCTAATTTGTTCACTATTGTGTCACCAAGAATTCATAAGTAAATTCCTGTGTGTTTCAATAATGTTTGTTGAATGAACAAAGGATACAAAGTTATGAGGTTATGATACAATCTGGGAACTACAAATGACAGTATTGCTGGAGTATAAATCAAGATCATGAATGGCACAATAGGGTGAAATTCTAAGTGGTATAATATGCCATGTAAAGATTTCTTTTTCTTTAGATAATGGAGAGACAAAGAGAAATTCAGCCAGTATAGAAACATCAAGTCTAGTAGAAAAATTTTCTGGTAGCAGAATATGGATTAGTAAGAATCAAAATGAGGTAGAAATCAATGAAGAAGTTTTAAACATTCAAGCTCGATATGTTAAAGGCCTGATGTGAGCAGTAAGTTGCATTAAGAATGCTGGAGAGAAGATGATTCATGATAGAGATATTTAGGATATAGAATTAATAGGACTTGATGACAAATTGAATGAAAGTGATTAAAGATGGTTCTCAAGTTCCTGATTTGGGCAAAAATTTCTGCCCACATTTTAAATACTTGAGTAGAAGCTGTAACTGAACAATTAATAAGGAAATCTATTTAGGAGCTTGGTACTTGGAAATATATTTTTATTAAGTAGGCCTCAGGTCTGAAATAGTAATCACTTGAGAAAATAGTATTTACCTAGAAAAGAGATTATATCAGTATCACAGATAAGCCAAAGGTCTAAATACATTATATTGCCCTTAGAAAATTGCAAAGGATATTTAAAGTCTCCATAGAATCATATTCAATAATTTGGAAGAGGTCTTGGAAGTCCATTGTCTATTTCCAAACCAATGTTTGTATCTTTCCGTAGTGCAGGGGTGTCAAACTCATTTTCATCTGAGGCCACATCAGCACTGAAGTTGCCTTCAAAAGGGCTGAATGTAATTTTGTGACTGTATAAATGTTAACTACTCCTGAACAGTTAAGCGAGAGCTCTACACTGCCACCTGGTAGAAACAAGGTGGAAGGCTGGATTCGGCCCTCGGGCCTTGTGTTTGCCACCTGTGCTGTAGGGGGAAGACAAAAAGAAATGGGTGGCTGGAGTTAATTCAGTCAGTTGAGAAACTTGAGTCCATGGTTATATAGATACAGATGTTTTCTAACTTTTAAAATGTTTTTATTTTTTTACATTTGTTTTATTTTTATGCTATAACAGTCCCAGTTTTTCCCCCTTTGCTCCCCTCCACCTAGCCCCCTCTCCTCAGGCACAACCCACACCTTTGTCCACATCTGTGGGTCATGCATATATGTTCTTTAGCTAATCCCTTCACCTTTTAAAAAACAGCAGTTTATATACTGTTACACAAGCCTGGGCAAAATTTATTTATTTATGATATTCCATAACTTATGTTCAAACTTCTAATTCTGTTTGGCCCAGAAACTGAAGTCACGGAATCTTTTGAAGAAAAACAACAGCTGTATTCCAACTGGACCATCTAATTTAAAATCAAACATTAATAGTCAACAAGTGCTACTTGAACATAGTTACGCCTTTAGGAATCCTATGGAGGCAAAAAAGAGGATAATTAAACTGGAAAAGGAAATAGCAAACTTAAGAAGGAAAATGAAAACTTGCCTACAAAAAGAACGCAGAGCAACTCGAAGATGGATCAAAGCCACATGTTTGGTGAAGAATCTAGAAGCAAATAACATATTACCTAAGGGCACATCCGAACACATTTTACCAACTGCCTTAAGCAGTCTTCCTTTGGAGGATTTCAAGATTCTTGAACAAAAACAACAAGATAAAACGTTAACAATTCTCTAAATCTAAAGTAGATCAAGAGTACTTTTAGTTAAGATTAGCCTGCATAGATCTTGAAGCCCATCCTTTATCCTATTCAAAGGTAAAGATTAAGAAAATTATGCCAAAATTGGGTACTTTCAAGTTTTACTTGAAATAATGTTACTACTGTATAACTTATGGAAACTTGATTACAAAAAAATGAAGACTTTATGAAACTTATTTGAAAAAGCATGGAAGTGCCTTACATGAGAATTACATACTTAAAAATTTTGCTAGGAAATTTTTCAAGGTGTGCTGTGTTTTTGTCTTTTTAAACAACTTTTAAAGAACAGTCTATGACAAATAATGTGTTTAACTTATATTAGAAAAAAATGTTTCTGTGTACCAAAGTTGGAATATTACATTCCAAATAAGACACTAAGTAGGAGTTAACCAACATTAAATATGACTTTAACACTGCTGGGTTTTGTATTAGTTAAATTATTATTGGCACTATGATTTGAAAACTTTATAGAAAAAAAGCATGAGGTACAGGACAAGGTCTTTTATTTCAACTTTCTGTATCCTTTTAACAGTGAAAGTGAGTTAATCATGACCTCCCTTATAAGAGTATTGTCTTTTAAAAGGGATTGTAAAATATTTTGAAAATATTTTTGAATGTGAAGTACCCTTGAGTCATCCAAGGTAGTAAGCCCTCAAGTACCTCAGACTAGTAAAAACTGGTAGCTGATTATATTCACCTTTTAAGAAAATATGTTGTGAAATAATGAAAAGGTTGGGATCTAGCTTTTACCTTAATTAAGCAAAAAAATAATTGTATACTGCTTTTACTTATAATAAAAACAATACATTTTTAGTTTCAAAATTGATATATTAGTAAACAAACATGCTACCAAGTTCCATGTTAGGAAATTCCCTCTGCTTTCATGTATATCGATACTAAAGCTTTTAAGCTTTTTTTCCCCATAAACATACAGTAGAATTGAATTATACAACAATACTTACCATGTTATATCTTTACAACTTATAACTTAAAATGGAATCAATTTACCATACATGTCAGCTTGCTTTTTATCTCCTTTCTTAGTGAGAGCCAAATAGAACGACTGTACTGCATGAGGGAAATAAAATGTAGTTCTCTACAAAAATGTGTGTCTGTGAATAAAGCTATGCAAGTGCTAATTGTTTTACAAAATAGAATATCAGAACTATTATTGTAGTTGACACTTGAACAATTAAAGAGTTTGCCTTACTTCACCAGATAAATGTTTAATAACATTTTCCTTCAAAGAGCTTTGATCAAATCATGGAAAATTTATTAGTGTATAGTGTTATTCAATCCTGATTCCAGCTTTCTGACACCAACATATGAAAGTAACACACACCTAATCGTAAATTGCATAAGTCTTTCCTATAAGGTAAATGCTACCTGATGATAAAAATAATTTTTTGTGTCAATTGTTTAGATTGCTGTTTTCCTAGGATCCTAGCATCAGTCTTTTTACGTTAATAGCACCTTTCAATAAGAAATACCTCCCAAGCAACTAGATTTCACAAAGGCAAAGGTAGGAAAAGTCTGTTTTAGCTATCATAAGGCACTTACAACAAATATTTATTAAAATTCTTTTCTATATACAGGGTGGGGCAAAAGTAGGCTTACAGTTATGAGTACATGAAACAATTTATTCTTCTATTATTATTTATTAATTATTGTATTATTTTCCATATGAACTGTAAACCGACTTTTTCCCCACCCTGTATTGTAAACCTTGTTAGTCATTTGTATCTTAATATTAGACATAGCTCCTTGGAATTATCATTACATTTTTTTCTAATATAGTTTCAAATGTCTTTTTATACATAGCCTTAATATTCAGCAAACACTGACCATATCTACTGTATACCAATAAGTTAGGCAAATAATCATTTAAACATAAATTGTGTTTTCCAAATACAGACTATCATGTGGTTCACCACTCCTCCCCAATACAAAACAAAACTAACAGACTGATTCCCATCTACAATATCTTGGTATCTTAATATAACATTTTAAAAATCACAAAAATGAACATTATGAAAACAAGCTTTTGGCAACATTAATCATTATTATTTGAGACCACTGAATAAGCTGCTCAGTTTTTTTAAGTAAAAATATTTTGGGGGTTTTTCCCCTATGTCATTTTCATGTTGCTGTCCTGATAATATGCTCCACACTCTCCCTGCATCAAATTCTTTCATTAACAAACATCTGTCTACCTTAAAAATAGTCTCATTCATAGAAAATATGAATTTTAAATTTGTTTTTAGTTTGTTGATAAACTCACCACTTTGACTTTGACCATACACTATAAAACTATCAAAATTATAACAGCTCTTTGGTCTTCTACTGGACACCAAATGCATATCTTGTATTCATTCATTCTATGTCTGCTAGGCACTAACTTCTACAAAGAACCAGCCAAAGGCTAGTTACTTGATATAAAGATGAATTTGACTCAATTTTTTACCTTTAAGTTATTCAAAGTCTCCTGAGAGAAAAAATATGTTTCATACAATATGATAAATGCTATAAATGGTTTTAAATTGGAATTTAGTGAGAACATAAACTTAAGACCTTTTTATAATGAAATACTTTTGAAATAAAGATTTCTTATGACAACCAAAGGAAGTAAAAGGACACTGATGTTGACCTGAATTACATAGTGTTTTCTTTTAATAAGTTGTAAGACATTTTTCCCCCTTAAAATGAATACTGAACAAATGTGTTGTTTATGGTGTCTTTGTTAACAGAAAAACATAACTAAATAAAATACTGCATCAAAGCCAAGTACTGGAGTTTGACACTTGATATTGTTACAAAATAACAAACCCTACTAACTCAGATCTTTAAAAATATTTTAGCTGAGTCTTGAAGTTAACAGAACACTGTAGCACCCATTAGTTTTCATACTTGTTCTTTACAAATATTCTGTTTGGCAGGTGATATCTCCAATGTACAGCTGAAGAAATCTGTGTTGATATAGCTTACTCATTCAGACATTTACTGTGTGCAAACTGGCACAAGGGGTAGAATACTAGTTTATCTAGGAAGTTCTAGGTGGAACATTGATCTTCAGCCTCCAAATTTATCCTGCCCACCACATTATAAGCCTCTGTTAAATACATAAATTATGTTATTAAAATAGGACAAGTCATGTGTCCCAAAAAAACTAAAAAAATTTTATCTATATAATATAGTCTATAAAGTCATTGTTAATCTTTTCTAAGTAGACTATAATGTTGCTGTTCTATCTCATTTCTCAATGTTAGAATACGGGTAAATTTTAACTTTGGTATAATATATAGAAAATGATTCAACTTTATGCCAGCATGTGGGATTCTTTGGTATTTAGGAAGTTGGAAAGTTTCTAAAAATAATGGTTTTATAATGTGTATTAAACAGCTGCATACTATATTCACAAGAATGTATTCTGAGTATGTTGATATTAAAGACTTTTTTCCAAGGACATTACTATCATGTCTATTATTTCCAAAAACTGTACATGTACATTTCTGTGGAAGTCCTTCCCCTAAATTAACCTCCCCCCAGATACTTCTGTAGAAGTTCTCCCTAAATTGAAGCAAGCTGTTAATAAAACAAAGATATGTAAAGCCTAAAAGAGGAATCATCAATATTACTTTTGTTGCTCAGCTTGTATCTAAACATCCATTATAGTTTATTTGTACTGTTTTAAATACTGGTTATGCAATCTAAACCAGATATAAGAAGGGCTATAAAAATTTTATGTACCCTGACAATTTCAGGTTAACAAAAACATTCATTTGTAGATATGATTATCAAAGCATTATCTTAATAAAAAAGAAACTAAGTTGTGATTTTCCTTAAATTTTTTCTGATTATTAAAATAATTGCTTAATGCTTTAATTCAAAACATGCTATTTTAACATTCACTAAGAGACACTGAACAAACCAGGATGAACCAGACAAGATCCTGTCCTCTAGGCTACTGGGGAAAAAAAAATACTCCATTTACTCCTGTCCTCACAGTTCCATACCCTCTTCCTAATGCCCTTTTAGAAAAAATTGACTCTAATTCAACTTATCAGCTTCAGTTTACTGCCTAGGCTATTAGTTTGTACTCAAAAACTTTTTAAAAATCTTTAATGCCAAGAAAGCAGATGTGTACCTAGCTCTCAGATTAATTTTCAGTCTATTTAGATAATATTTCAAACTTAACTGTAACTCCATTCTCGTGAACTTTGTATTTTCATACCCTTGTTAACCACCAAACCCTTACAGATTGCCTTTCCCTTAGCCTGGTAACAAATGCCTTGTCACCTTTCAAGACTTAGCTCTGACACTCCCTCTCTGTGACACCTCCAACACAATGATTTTAACCTTTTTCATCTCATGGTACACCTAAACTAACTACTAAAATGCTGCAGCACACCAAAAAATGTATTTTGCGCCCATCTGACAAGAAAAAAAGAAAATAGGTATAATTTTGATTCATTCACACCAAATGGCTGTTGGGTTGGCTGTTGTAATTTTTTTATTTGATAATCTAAGGGAAAAACAGTCAGTGCCCCTGACTGAATAGGTATTGCATGTTTTTTAAAAAATTGCAGCACACTGGTTGAAAAATCACTGCTTTAACATACCAAGGTGACATAAGTCCTTTACTCCTTGTGTCTTGTTTTATACATAACTTGGATAAAGTCATACTACTATAATGTAATTGTCTACATACATAGTTTCATCTGCTGTGCCTTCAAGGAAGTGTATGTAGATATTCTTTATTTGGGGGTCTGACATGTATATAAGGACTGTCCAGAAGGTATCCAATCATGTAATATGAAAAATAGAGGCACACATTGAATAAAATACAAGATACAAGAAACATTGTACATAGGACAATGATGAGTCAGTTCCCTTTCAAAGTAGGCACCATGGAACTTCACACAGTTCTCCCAATTGCCATCAGCTGCCCCGTCATATTTTCCTGAATCTCTTCAACAGTCTGAAATCTCTTCCCTTTCAAACATGATTTTAGTTTTAGGACAAGCCAGAAGTCACAGGGCACCAAATCTGGGTTGTAGGGAGGCTGAGTCACCTGGTTGATTTGCTGTTTTGCCAAAAAATGCTGCAAGAGAGGTGATGCGTGAGCCAGTGGCGTTGTCATGATGAAGCTGCCAATCACCAGTTTCCCATAGCTGTGGCCTTCTGAATCACCCCAACAGTTTCCACAGAGGAATGTTCAACCTTAACACAAAATTTGATGGAGATTTGTTGCTCTACTTGCTCAGTCATTTTGAATAGGACAGCCACACAGTACACACGCTCACCCAATGGCATCACTGTCCCCACTGACTAGTACAGTGAAGTCATCATAGTTCATGCATGTGCATTCCAGTCCACTTTCCTTGGCTGCCAGGTTACATTATTGTCACACAAACCATTCTCTCCTTATATTAACAATGGCTGGATTTTTTCCAGACAAACCTTGTATATTATACATTAGGCATTCAAATACTAGATTTCAGGAAACCTGAACCACTCCTCTGGCTTAGATTCAAAGGGATTGTACATGTAATCTACTTTCTTGACAACGGCTTTTTGCCATTGGGTGATTTTTATAATTGGTGTTAAGTACCAAATGTCTATCCCAGAAAATTTCAAACTTGTTTATGCCAAAGAATAAACAAATAGGTATTTATATTGTGGCATTTAAAGGTTATTAATGCAGTAATAAATTTTCAGTCTGTTACTCTGATCACTATAGAAATTCTCAAACTCATGTTTTCTGAGGGTAACATGCTCAGTTCTTTAGAGCATCATCCTGATACACCAAGGTTGTAGGTTTGAAACCCCATCAGGACACAGAGAAGGAGCAACCAATGAATGTATAAATAAGTGGAAAAACTAATCGATGTCTCTTTCTTTCTCTAAGTCAATAAATAAAAAATTTTAAAAAGTTAAACAAAGATGTTCAAGTTTCTTAACTTCTCAGAGCCTTTAACAATGCATTTCACAATCCTATGAGTATAAAAAAATTCTCAACCTTAAATTTGATTAGAGGTGTTGGGTGGGGAGTGGAAGTGTAAGGTAGCATCTTGAGGAATGTAATAGTTTAAGAAATGCTTAACCAGAAATTATCTGTTTCTAGAAAATGGCTTTTAAAGCAATAGAAAAAGACTTTGTTGAAATTTTTAAAGCTTTTAAAGTCTATAAAAATGATCAAACTGTTAAATGGGTTTTTTTAAAGAATATAATCTCTTAGCTACATTAATTCTTCCAAGTTGTTTCAGTCTTAAGCTAAGAAATTTATTTATGGGGGACAACAGCAATAATTTGGACACAGAAAAAACAGAAGTTAAATATTTACTTGAAGGGTCAGTGACTGGCACTATTATTTATTATTTAATAGGCAATGAGAGCCAGACAGTTATGAGAAAGAGAAAATCATTCCTGACAACCAGGAACTAGCCTGACAGTGGGTTAGGAAAGGCCTGACACAGCTAGCCCATGATTTTCTGTTGGACACAAACATCTCCAAACCCCAACATCAAGACAATGTTACCCTGTGATTGTAGTAAAGTAAGGCAGGGTGGAAAGCAAGATTGGTTTATAATTTTGTCTAAGAGACAAAAACAAGGTCAATATGCTAAAACATTAATGAAATTGTTTGGTGTCACTGATACTGGCCAGTCAGCTTTCTGAGGTAATCCAATCATTTGTGCTGAACAGACTAAAAGAGTGGGCACAAAATGAATTTCTACGTGAAGACCATACTATGCATGTAGTCTAATAAGAGAAGGCCACTACCATTTAGTCCTACTTGATAGATTTGATTCTTAATGAACTATGTAGTCAATTAGATTTCTCATCAAAGGAAAGAGTGTTAAGTTGTCTTGGCACATATTTTTAAATTCAAAATAGTTTGAGTTTTTAGAAGTACTTTTAGTGGGTTAAAACACAATTGGGTTCTATGTCTGAAACTAACTCGCCTCTTCTTACAATTGTTAGGAATTAACTGAAAGAGTTATTAAACAAAATGTAACTATCAATTATTTGTTAACCCAGGCAAACAAAGTTTATTTAAAATGTGAAATGAGCCACAAGAGTCCGATTGTTACTGGTAATGACGTTCTTCTTTCCTAATGAATTGACTGAATGCACACTTCAGAGGAGAGATGTGGGTACAGATGTCCACACTGAAAGTAGTGCCATGATAATAATTTGAGAGCTCAACAGCAGAATCTATGCCTAGCTTTATCTTTACATCTCTAGCAGCCAGCAGTGCCCAGTTGCTGGGTTTATATTATAGGTATATACGTTGTTTTAAGTCATTTTTCGCCATCATAAAATTGCGTTTTTACAACACAATATATGCTCCCCCCAAATCCATAATATTATGTCATGAACTCCCCGTAGATGAAACAGTATTTGAATATTTTGCTTGAAATGGACTTACTGGGTCTAAATTCACCTGCATTCCTTTATTCTATTACTACCCAGGTGGTGGTTTCCCTTTTCAGGGCTTGCAAGTGTCCTCAAAAGCAAGGACCTAACGTGGTAGACATCTCCAGTATTCTGAGCAGCACGACAAGCCCTCCGAGGACGAGCCTTGGCCGTCCCTCCGTGGGTTCGCCCCACGCGTTTGCCCTTGGCGACGCCCTTCACACGCTCACGTGAGCGAGGCGGTGTCTGCGGGAGGCCACTGCGCATGCACTCACTAGCGGAGCCAGCAGAGGTGGAGACTGGCGGGGCGCTGGCTGAGATCCGGGATCCTTGACTGTGGTCGGCTGGGCCTGGACGCCAGGGTAGCGCAAGCGGCAGTCCAGACGTGACCGCTCTCGGTCGCGCCAGCCTGGCTGCTGCGACGCGCCAGAGGTCGGCTTTCGCGTTCTGCCACTTCAGTCACGGGGGCGCGCAGGCCGGCGGCGGAACTCGCCCTCTCTGGGCCACGGATTGGCTGCTCCGGCTCTTCTCCTCCCCTTCCGGCTCTCAGTGCTGCACGAGGAGACCGCGGTCCGGGCCCCGGCGCTCTGAGTGGACGCACTTTTCATTAGCGGTTTGAGCACTCCTCTAGCGACAATTTCCAGAAATAGTTTGGGTTTATATTATTTTTTGATCGGTGGAAGATGTTGGCATTTATTTTCGCTTCCGCACAAGTGTTTTGTGGGCAACTTGAATGAATTTTTTTTTCTTTCGGAAATGCTATGCATTTTCTCCCCCAGGTGCTCATATCCTTATTTTCCATGACAGATCTTGACGAAAATCTATGCAAAAAATATATAAAGATGATAACTAATATAGTTATATTGAGTCTTATCATTTGCATTTCTTTAGCTTTCTGGATTATTTCTATGACTGCGAACACCTATTATGGTAAGAATGAGTGTCCTAAGTCCTTTTTTAATACACTAATCGGTAGAATTTATAATTGTACTATTGTGAAACAAAAACTTGTATTCTTTGAATGGTAATGAATTGTGTTCGCTT